TGGAGGAATCCAGGTTTTGTAATCCCCTATAGAAGCCTGTGGTGGTCTTATTCTTCCCATATATTTGGCTCCTGCTTCATAGCTGAGAGACTGAAAAGATGCTGTGTGTGATTTACGGGGACCTGTGAATCACACACAGCATTGTTTTTCAGTCAATGAGAAGCTCACACGCTGGGCTCTCTGACCCACAATGGAGCAGTTCCTACTATGCTCACAGTGATGAGTTTCCTTACTACAGAGATGATTCCCCTGACGGTTTCTTTTCATCCCTGCTGAAAAGAGAGCGAGTACTTCTCTGTCCTTGCAGGGTGGACACCGTAATTTTGAGTGCTCTTAACCTTGCCTGGCTTTGTTGAGATCGGGAGTCTTTCCTTTGCTTCTCTTGAACACACTGCGAGAAAATGGAGTGTTTAGAATTCAGCGCCGGTGCCTGTGTGGATTTTATGAATTTGGGGACTTGGGAAAAAAATGCCCCCTAGCAAATTATCACCCCACACACAAAAAAGGTGGATGAAAGTGCTCCGGTGTAACCTGAATATGTCCTATCGGCTTTGATTTGAAAGCCTGTCATGGGGCATAGAAGTCCCCTAGTCTATTTTCACCTAAGGAACAGAGAGAGGATTTCAGTGCTTAGGAGAAAATAATACAAGGACTGATTGAATGTGTGCTCTGCAGTTCAGGGTGAGCTGTGGCCACTAGCAAAAAGTTTGATTCCATTTGATCAAATCAGGTAAGAACAATGGCTGAAAGATTAACTTGAAACATGACCTCATAAGGTTGCAGAATAATTCCCAAAGTGCTTTTTTAATATCCGTTAAATCTATCAAAGCAGTATGTTGGGATTAAATGTATACTGTGGCTCCTGACTGTGAAGGCCGGGCCAACATATGTGGTTTGCTTTGTCTTAAAGCCAATATAAAAACTGTTGTCCACATTTATTAAAGAATTGTGCAGGAAACCGTGCAGGTCACCTACTGGACATTTCTTACTCCAGTACTGTTTACGAAACAGTGGGTGTATATTTGCCAGGTGTACATTTAAACAGCAGGTTCCACACACAAACTGTCTGGGAACAAGCCGGATGCCAATTGCACTTCGCAAAGTGGCACTTCCTTCCTCTACACACTCCAGACTATGCGTTGAACTGCTGCCTGGCAACCATCTGGAAGGGACCCAACTGTTTTGATTGTGTGTGGCCGGGACAGCGCGGGTGTGGGATTGACACTCGTGTTGGGTGCAAGTGTGCGTAAATGATGGACTCTTGACAGCCATAAATTCTCAGCGTGTACAGTATTGTCAGGTACGTGTTGTGTGTGGCTATTGTACACGTGGGTGTGCACCATGCATGTGCGCCTGAATTCAACTCCGGTCTTGTTAGGGAATTCCACACCACATTATTGAGTTGTCTTGGTGATTGTATGGCTTCATTCCCAGACTGGATCCCAAGGGATTAAAAGAAAAGCAAAACTCCTGAATGATCAGTCACCAGTTAACTCAGCTAGAGTGACACTTTTACAGTCCAGTGCTGAAATTATGTGAACAAAGTTGCTCTATTAAAAATGCATATTTAAGAATATCAAAGGGCTACATAACTGAACAGAAATGGAATATTTTTGGCTTTGTTGAGTTTGTAAAACATTTATGGCCCCAGCCAGTCCAGTGAAATGACTGTGTTGTATTGAAAAACCAGATATGACGATATGAATAACGAACACCCAGCAAATTTTTGCAGCTCTAAATGCAGCTGCTGTTTTCTTTCTTTTTCCCGTCTTATGATCAACCTCTGATAAGAAAACAAAAAAGGGGGGGCTGGATGAAGTCCAAGCTGCTGCCCTGGTGACGGCCAGGGAAGCCATGGCACCAGGGCCGAAGGTGATGCATCAAGCTCATCCTTGCAGGGAGGCGGTGGCGAAGCACAAGTAAACACTCTTAAATCATCGTCCTGGGACACATGAGGGGAGAGTGGGGGGTGGTGGGGATGTAGCGAGGAGAGCGGAATGCCACATGACCCCCCCTCCAATCCCTTCTGGCTCTCCCAGAGCAGGCATTATCAATGGTCAGAGCAACGACACAAATCGCAGTCCAGGTGAAACAGCTTGCAGGCCTTCATTGCTTTTTCATCTTTGGTAAAATAATTGTAAATTTGACAAAAGACACAGGGATCAAAACTGTGTAGGTAGTATGAATCTTTTCCTGCGTGTGCCAAGCCAGATTATGACAGCGAATTAGCGAGTAGTAAGTTTTCATGGTAACACTTTTTCAACAAGTCATCTGTGGGAGGCAACAGTTATAGTACAGCGACTGTATACGAGCAGCAGTATCAATTACTGTAGGTGGCTGTTGCCTGATTCAGCTCCAGCACTTCATAGAAAGAAACTCTGCTTTCGAAGTTTCATCCTGTCCCTATTAATTCGGTGCTAAAGGAGGTCCTCGTGCCTGCTGCCGCTGAGCTTGTCCGAACAGGCAGCGTGGCATTTTAAAGAAAACCATATCCTTGTAAAACAAGAGTCACATAAATAAATGCATGGCACTCTCTGCTGCACAGGAGGTCTTTAGCATCATGTTGTTGCTCTCCCACAGAGATTTAACATACCATATGATCTCAGGGCTTTTAAGTCACTTTGCAGCCACACAGGCGGCTGAAAAAACAGATAAATATTTTTCAAGGTGAACCCAGATAAATGGAGCATATTTTGAAGCCTCTTCTAAAATAGAACTGAGAACATGCAGCATAGAAAGCAAATTGCAGTGCGCTTTAAAATATATATATGAAATATATATATATATATTTCATATATATATGAAAGAGAGAAGAGAGACTTATAATAAACAGCAAGTTTATGCTAAAAAGAAAAAGAAGCTCCCTACCCCCCTCCTCCCTTACAGCCTTCTATCTGCGCTCTCTGCTAACACACACACACACACACACACACACACAGCACACACACTCCTCCCTTAGCCTATATAAGCAGACAGCAGCTGAGCTGACCCCCTCCACCCTGCATTCTCTCCTTTATTAAACATACAAAAGCTGTCTTTGCAGCTTTGAAATACATGTGGATATGTTTGTGGATTTCTTAGCAAAACTTCAGGAAGAAAACATGGTCTACTTCTGCACAGATAGTGTGAGCAATATGAGCAGAAAGCCCCGCATTGTAGAGAGAAAGGGCTGAGCAGAGCAGGGCGCTGCTGCTTCCCATCCCCCACATTCACATAGCAAAGTTCTGCTGCTTTTGCAAGCGGCAGTGCTGCCTTCACGTGCTCCACGTGAACGCTGCGAATGCACAGTGTCGCAGCGTTCAGGCGCTACAGCTCGGAAGTGAACGTTATTTTTTCACAGCCTTTTCACTTAAAGTCGTGAGCATCTCGTCTTATTCGATTATATGAAAACGAAAATACTGTGTTGTCAGGCTTGTCTGGTTTTTACATTCAAAGCAAAAAGCACGTGCAATGCGGTTAAGTACGTTATTTACGTTAATGTGCGCTACGTTACTTAAAGTATAGAAGGAAGGTGTCGTTTCGTGTGAAACAGTGAAAAACATTATAAAATGTTGAGTTTCCTCAATTTTGGTTATTACTTGTAGTTGTCTGTAGAGTAAACCAATATTTGTTTCCTTTTAGCTTGTGACCTGTACGTACGTCTTTGCTTTAAAATCTTTGCTTTGCTGTTTTTTCTTTGTTTGTTTTTTAAATCTAATGAATTCGACACTTGTTTCCTGTAAAGTAGCTAATGTCACCTTAGACCTATTAGAACAGAATCTAAAGTGCTCCTTTCACCCCCCCTGACATTTTTTGTTATATTTATAATGGAGATTTGGCACTCTGACCGCACTCTAGACAACCTTAGCTTATGGCAATTAAGATGTTAAAACATTTTATACTCTCTTTCATATTTACTTAATTTTTCACTCCCTATAAGTCTTTAATATTAGACTAGGTGACGCTGATTAGAAAAATTCCGACAGCACTTGAAAGCAGCACGAGGGCTGATGCTGCTGCTAGGAGAGCGCGAGGCAGGCAGGCAGAGAACACGAAGAAAAAGGGGGTGGGGAGAGAGAGAGAGAGTGGTGGAGAGACTTAGGGTGTCTGTTCCTGTTAATTGTATAGGGCTACTTCATGCTTTCTCCAAATATGTCCTGTCCACTGTGTGCTGGAGTGAGCCTCGACTCCTACATGATATGTTCAAATATTCAGCGGCCCTGTCACTTTTCCCACCATCGCTGTTTCTCATTTTCTATCTCCACTTCCTGGTCTGAGACTGGCTCAGTCCATCCCCCATTCTTCTTCCTTTTCTGCTCCCTCTCTCTCTCGCGCGCGCGCTCTCAAACACACACATGCGCCACAAACATGCACAGGTTGTAATTTCATGCTTTCCTCCACTTTCCTCCGCTTGTGCTGTTGTAGACACATGGAAGCAGTCACTTCCACCCATTAGCACACTCTTATAGAAGATGACATTGTAGCCTATTTTGTTCCACCCCTTTCACCAGCTGATAGAAACCCACAAATGAATGTAACAGAAGCGCTCACAGCTTAAGCACGAACTGCACAGTTGTGGCTGAAATAAAAAAAAATAGTATGGCAAAAGAAGGGACGACAGAAGTGTTTTGATAACACAAAACAGTCAGTATTTAGCAGTGAGATATATAAGGAAAGACCATGAGCACCAAGCACGTGGCTATTTGAAAGATATTTGAAGTAAAAATGAAATGTGGGAAATTCTGGTTATTTGTAACGACAAACAGAGCTATTCAACATCTACTTTGTAAAGTTACGTGTATCGTAGCAGGTAGTATCCCCAGTATAAAAGCATACAACTAAAATCGTGTTTTATTTACTAGGATTATATTATGCATTATATTATAACGCATATTGATTAATTCCTATTTAAAATGAAAGACAGCACAGAGAATTAGTGTAACTTATTTTCTAAATAAACATCTCTCCAGGAGACATTAGCTTTTTATTAATTTGCGTCATTTAATTACCCTCTGTACGGCTGGCACTTTATGCTAACAAACACCGCTTCTCGAATACGTCGACGGTTTTATGTATGCGCTCAGTTCAAAGCGTATTAGACCTTCAATAACGGCTCTCCTTGTGTATAAACAACAGGGAACAAGCAGTCCGAATCCAGTTGCTGTAGATTCCGCTCCGGGTTTTTATTTTCTCGCGACATGTCGGTAAGATGGCTGTATCTCGCGGAGCCTCGTGCTGGTTTGGTTGATTTCTAGCTCGCGCTCTCGTTCTGTAACAGAAGGCCCCCCTCCAACACACACACACTCACTTGTGTCGGTTAAATTCACTTCCCTGGCTCTGTATTTATACATTTTTTCTTTCACAAACTTTCCCCTCTCTGTTTTAACTTTAAACGGAGTCGCGGTGGATTACCGGATACCGGTCCGGGCGGAGGGAAAAGGGGGGAATGAACCGGGACAACGGGTACGTTGTTATAAATATACTTGTATTTATATTCAATGGTTATTCGAAGTTTGATTGTGTGTGAGTCGCCGTGCTGAGAGAGAGGCAGAGAAAGAGTGGGGGAGAGAGAGAGAGGGATATCATGGCCGCTCAGGTCGCTAGCGTCGCCACTCTCAACACTAGCCCGCCATCCGAACTAAAAAAGCCGGATCGGGACACACAGGAGGAGTCGGTACCGGGAGAGAAACAGCATGAAAATAAGGAACCGGGACCTGACGGCGGATCTCCTGGGCAGAAGGAGCTGCAGGACGGGACCGATGCTGGAAATGCTGGGGGAGGAGGGGATCCTGACATGAAGAACGGCAACGGGAATTTACCCAGGGTAAATAATAATAGCAGTAATCAGAATGATACAGGCGGGCCCGAAGGGAATAACCATCCCGGGATGGGACACCACCACCCGGGCCCCTTTCCTCCACCTCCTTACGGTTACAACCAGCACTACACCCGGGCCCCTTTTCATCAACATGGCGGACAACAAAGCCCTGGCATGGCAGCTGCATCGGGGCCGGGCATGATGGACTCTTACCCCCCTAATTCACACGAACACGGCTACCCCAACCATTACAACAACTACAGCCCGTTCCAGAACAGGACTTCTTACCAGGGCCCGGGATACGGGGCCATGAATTCCCCGCGTAACAACCAGCCTCCGGCTGGGGGGCAGCCAGGCAAGCAACAGCCAGCAGGAGGAACCACAGCTATGGCTGCCTCTTATAATAATCAGAGATATAACATGGGAAACCAACAACCTACGTCTACGCCAACTTTAAATCAGCTTTTGACATCCCCCAGCCCTACCAGGAGCTACCCGAATTATCCCCAAGGAGACTATAACAATCAGGAGGGGGGCAACAAGGGACCAGGGGATATGGGCAGCAGTCAGTATGGTGGGGTCCATCCGGCTTGGCAACAAAGGACCCACCATCCGCCTCCCATGAGCCCGGGAAACACTGGACAACCTCCAAACAGAAATCAGGTAAACTTCACTCACTGCACTGACACACTTTGGCTGACTTAAAGTCTCTCAGTCGCTGAGAAAAAGCACTGTAGAGTTGAATATTGCATTGGACCAGCCATTGTCTATGTAGCAAGAGCTCTAAAATGGCTGCCTCTCTCTCTCTCCCAATACCACCCCTGCAATAGTGTTTAGACAGAGAAAGAAGCCGCATATTCCGTCAGAAACAACTTTCTGAGACGTGGGTATCGGTGTGTGTCCCTGCTTGGTACAGGGCAAGAGTTAGACTAAGTAGAACAAGAGTTAGCGGGGAGAAAGTGTGTGCGTGTGTGCAGGGAGATGAGGTGATATTTGTTCGCGGTATTGCTCTAGCCTCGCTGTCAGTGCTGTAACCGCTGTCATTTCTGCGAGAATCCGCAGCGAGTCCGGTTCTTTTCGGTGCCGAGCTCCCTCCGGTGCTATCAAAAGTTGTGTCAGTGGCTGTCGAGGCGATAAACAAGATGCAAATGACAGCGATAGCCGTTAAATAATATTTGCATAATCATTAAGAAAAAGAGCGCTGTGTCTGTTAAAAAGCCGCTGCAGGCCGGAGTAGAGATGTGTCTCAGAGTCGGGTGAATGGCAACAATTCCATCCCGATAAAGTGTTTACTCGGATCAAAGTGTGATTGTGACCGCGATTGATTGTCTCGACTTGAGGGTTTTCATTCATTGCGGGATCGGTTCGACTCGGTTCGCTGTCTTTTTTTCTCTGCCTCTTTCCTCCATGTGCCGCCTGTAAACACGGCCCCGGCGCTCGGAGTTGGCAAAGTGCAGATTGCCTTTGCTTTGGGATTTGAATTATGGAGGTAAAATCCTGCTGTCAGAGCCAGGAGACAGTTGGTCTTAGGTTGACATGCGAGCCGAGATCTGATTGGCTCCCCCATCCCTCTGCTCTCGGCCATTTATAATTGCATCTAATGGAAGGCTGCAGAAAAACAGCCCCCTCTGCCCAGTGTTCCTCCACTGCGTAAAGAAAACATAGTCCCTGCCTCTCTTTTTTGATTTTTTTGTTGTATTTATTATCATTTTGAGCGATTTTGAATGCAGCTATATGGTCGTTTAATTAAAAAGAATTGTAAAAACATATTTATTATTCTAGCGATATCAACAGAAATCTAAAACCCAAAGACTACTTATTTATCTGTAAATGCTAACCTATGATTTGGTTGCATTTTATTTGTGAAAGCATTTTGAGAATACAGTTTGCTCAGTTCCTCCCACTGCAGTAATTTGCATGATGATGTAGTGATGTGGAGTCACCGTTGTTTTTATTTGTGTGATTAACCTGGCACGTGCTCAGTCACTGCTTTGCTGTTATTGACCTGGCATGTAAAGTTTGGGGGGGGGTTTTCTTCATTTTTTCCCATTTTTGCTTGTGGGGGGAGGGGGGTACACAGCGTGCACTGCTCCTTCAAGTCAACTGACTCCAGAACAGCAGAGAGAGTAGGTGTGGTCATATAGCCCCTCTCCTACAACTGTGTTCTGTGCTGTTTCCAGATCAGGAGTTGAGGAGACTGGTGTGGCCCTGAAAGTCTTGTGGCCACGTGATGGAGCCTGCCTGGCTGCAGTTGTGTTTACAAGCAAGCAAGGTGTCAGCCAAGTGTCACAGCTTTTTTTTTTTCCTCCTTCTTCTTCCCGGCAGGTAGCCTAATTTACTTCCACAGGCAGAGTATGTCAACAGTGCTTACCTACATCTTTCTCTTAAGAGATAACGGCCCCTTGTGTAGTGTTTTATGCTACAGTTATGTGTCATAGGCAATGTAGGTAGGTAGAGTTGGATGCATTTGAGAATATTTTGTGGGTTTTGGCTTAATTAATTAAACATATATAGGCCACAGAAGGATGCTTTATCTGTGTACATACAGGATTGCGGGAGGGATAAAATTAAACTCTTTATTTGACATTTGCTTAAAAACAACATTTTTATATCTCTTCTGTATTCTCATTTACTTTCAGTGTCCGTTTTCTCAAAACATTTTGCACGTGGCTTTTGTAAATGAAACGTGATAGATGGGCTGTTTGTTTTTATTTCCCACCAAAAGATGTTTCATCAGACTTTTCATCCAGAGAGGTGAACCCACCACTTGTTGCTTTAAACTTTTAAGGCGACAGCTTTTCACACATTTTGATTGCCACTTTCGCTGCATCCACAACAAGTTAAATTGCCTGCACTTAGAGCCGGATGGTGCACAGTTGTAGAGTGGCTGCAGAAGTGCTCGGTTCAGTGTGTTTTAGAACAAACACCCAGATATTCCGCAGCAATTGGACACGGGCCGTGTTTGCTTATTGCCGTCGCTTTATACAAAAAAACCCCCACATATTCCAGGACGGATGAGGGGTGTCGCGCTGAGTGCGCCCATCTTTCTCCGGAGGGCCCCTCGCTGCTGTTTCCAGGAAAGTTAGGATGCTCCTTTTTACTTTCAGTTTGTCACCTCCAGCATGTGGAATAGTGTCTGTGCCCGGGGACGGCATTAAATTTAGGCAAACTGGGAATTGCTGCTGTCAGGGTGGATGAGTTCAATTTGAGCAGGGTCCAGCCTTTATTGCTGTAGAGTTGCCATATTTACATCACTTGCTTAAATATTGGATGTCGGCAGTTAGATACATGCAGATTACGTTCCTGACATTGCATATATATTAAATAGCGCACATCTGAATCCTATCTCGTTTTATTTCTTTTCAGTTGAATATATTTTAGAAAACCTTGCACATTTTTCTAAGTGTCAGTGTGTCTAAATGGCATTTCTTTCATTTCTAAACTGAGCATTCATCAGGTTTGCGTAGTACTCAGGGTGTCAGATTGAGAGTTATGAACTTCAAATAACCCTTTTTTATATTTTCTATAATATCGGATTGTGTCAAAGAAATGCCCTGCCACCTTTCTTGGAATTTGTTGCTATGTTTGTGGTCGGTGATAGATTGTTAGCACAACATCTTTAACAGATTCAAATGATATTTGTGGGGGAGCTTTAATTAATTATTAAATACGCTATAGAAGGTGCTCAGCTGTAAATATTTTAATTGCCAAGTACCTTGTTATTGCAGTGTTTCCCACACATAGACTATACTTGGGCAAGCTGCCCAAATGTAGGGTGCCCTAGTGCATCTTTTTATTACTTTATCCATTCTTTTTAATGTTAGTGACTAGAGTCACCCTTGGGTAGGGTGGTTATGTGTCTGCTGTGCTGGTCCTCGATGTCGGTCCGCTGTTTGCAGTGTCACATCCTGTAGTTTGACAGAACTCCACAGTCTTAAACCACACCAGCTGTAGTTCTTGTTTTGCTCTATAGAACCACCATAAGCTAGAGGGCAACTCTAACCAGACCCTGGAGTTCGTGGAGAACTGGTTCATGTTCCACCATGCTTAGCCCACTAAGCCAGCATCAGTAGACCTTCCTTTGCAATCTGCAGTTGAGGGAAACACTGCCTGATATGCTCAGCTGCCTCTCCAGTAAGTCTCAGTGGTCCTTGTTCTGCTCTGGAGGTGTGTTGAATGCTGGACAGTCACTTTAGTGTGAACCTGTGATGCAGGTGCCTCTACTGCACTAATTTGACAGCTAAATAGCAGTGACCTTAGCAAACTGTCCAGCCAGGAAATGGTACTGGTCAGTGCTTGTTGGTTAGCAGTAGGTGAACTTTCAAAATGAGATACTATGATGTGCCTCTACAGCTAAGTGTATGTGAAATGCTGCAATTAATTCCCAGTGGGTGTCAAACTCTAAGGCTACGTTCACACTGCAGGCGAAAGTGCATCAAATCCGACTTTTTTGACCCTATGCGACCCATATCCGATCATGGTATGACAGTGTGAACGGCACAAATCCGATATTTTCAAATCAGATCTGGGTCACTTTCGTATATGTTACTGAATCAGATACATATCTGACGTTTTAGAAAGCGACTGCTGTTTGAACGGTCATGTCGCATTAAATCCATCTTTTACGTCACTGACACAAGACAGATGCCAATTATCAGCGCCGGAGAAGACATCATGAACGCTTCCTGGCCATCCAGTGAAACTGTTGGGAAGACAACGTTGGAGAAACGTGAACATTTTATTTGTACTGTATAATCTGCAGACTCTGACAGAAATCTGCAACTATCCTTTGAAGCACCGCTCCTCTCAAAACAGCAATAGGGATAATTATTAGGCCATATCTAAATAACAAAATAACTTTATAACTTAAAGCAAAATTTGGAAACGTAAAGTCCGAAACAAGTCTTTATATTAACAGCCATCAGTCAAACAATACTGTTTGGTCTGGATCTAAACAGAGCGCGTTGTGTGTGACGTCTTCTTTTGCGCATGCGGGCCGCTTTGAGGGTTCACACTAGAGCGCGTTTGCTGTCACATTTTATTTGTAGTGTGAACAAGCAGACAAAAAAATCATATTTGATCAAAAAATTGGAATTGAGCATTAAGACCTGCAGTGTGAAAATGGGTTTAAAAAATACTGCACATGGATTGCTAAGTGTTCTTTGGTAGTAGTCACCCCCAGTGAAAGCAGTGAATTATCATTAAAATATGCAAACAGAAGTTATGATGAGCTAAAATTTGTTAATAGAATGATTTAGCTTGAGAATGCATTAGCTTTGTTTGTGTTTATGTCCTTTTAGCCTTGTATTTTCTCAATTTCTTCCACAGGAAGACTGATGTCTAATCCAATACTTTTCCTTCATTGGATTTAAATCCGTGGATGCTTTTCCAATGGGCTAATGAGCCTTCAGAGCAATTCCTTGCAAAAGAATTCAAGGTTTTGCTGGAAAGCTGGAGGATAATTGAACATTTTTTGGTTGTTAAGCAAATGTAAAGGTAGCAATGACTGTATTTTAGCAGAAGGCAAAAGGGCTTTGACAAACTATCATTAGTGTAACTGAATTGAGCAGACTCCCAGTAACTTTAACTCTACAAGAGTTTGTCTTGATGTCAGTGGTCCAGGTGCAGAGAACACATTACCTTAATGGATATGATCTGAGACATGGTGTGTGGAGGACAGGACCTTTCACTAAGGGCAAATAAACACGTGTGGGACCCAGACTGTTTTCAAATCATAGCAAAGATATGTCACATGAGGCCACTGCTACATGCTTGTTATGTTTAGTCAGGGAGATTGTATGTTTGATGTCTGACTGCAGAGTTTGATGTGGCAGTCAGTAGACCAAAGTTCAGGTCAGTTTTTCACAGGCTACCCTCTGCTGAAGTGCTGCCGACTACATTTCAGCAGAGTTTATTAAAGGCTTCAGCTCTTCTGTCACGAGCAGTGGCACGATCAGCCTTTTAATTGGTGGCTCTGGTAATAATTCAGCAGCTGTTGTTTTTTTTGTTGTTGTGTTTTTCAACAAGCCACTCACCTACCTTGGGCCACCTGCTCAAGATGAGTTAATGCGTTAATTGAATGGTGGATAAGGGCTCATATTATGGGTTTCCATAACACCTTGCACACAAACAAATACTCTGAAGTGGATTGTAGTGGGTTTGGGTTTTTTTTGCTTCTTTGTTTGGAATGGTGTAATGCCAGGTGTGTCCCCCACCTCCCACCACCACCATCACTAGAGATGTTTAAAAAGTTTCCCTTTTGCACGGGTAAGGCCACAATTACACATTTATTAGTTTATTTAATTAACCAATAATAACAAAGCACAATAAACAAAGTTGTAGATTAACTTGTATTTATTGTTATTATTGTTATTATTATTTTTGTAGGTACTGTTTGAGAGCGTGGGAATTTGTAATGACATTGTTTGCTGCTGAGAAAATTCTAATTTGCATTGAGTTATTTTTTTAGTTTATTTTTTCCACTTAAAAATTGAATTAGAAAATAAGTGAAGATAAGAGAATATTTCCATAGCGTCAGTGACTAGTTTAATTTCAGTCTTTGCCAGCTTTTTTGGGTCCAGCCTCTTGAATCTGTGCAAAATTATCTCTCCTA